GGGGTCACACAGCTCCTGAGCTGTGGGGAACCCCGGTGCTTCCCTCTGTGGTGGGCTGGTCCCGGTGGGCACTGCCACCATGGAGGGAAGCACTGGGGCCAGGACCATCCCTGGGGGGGAGGGGTGAATCAGGGTGATCGCCACAGGCCCTGTGTTTTAGGGGGCTCCATGGACAGTGCTATACAGGCATTGCCACAGCCGCTGCATGCCACTGGTTCTGCGCTTTGGCTGCTCCCCCTCAGCTGCTTGCCACCCCCAGCCCCACACAGGTTGATATGCCCCAGGCCTTGTACACCCCTAGGGATGGGCCTGACTGGGCCTTCTGCAGCTCAGGGCCCGCTGGCAGCTCACCTCCGGGCTTCTTATTCTGCCTGTCTGGAGCACTTTGATTGGTTGTTTCAGTAAGCATTGTGATTGGCTGCTGAGACAACCAAGCAGAGTGCTGTGGACAGACAGAATAAGCCTGTTATACTAGATGTTATTCTATGTCATGCATGCCTCTTGAGGGAGTAAAAGGTCTCACAATGATTTTTAACTGCTGATTTCAATTGACTTCTTAATGTGTACCTTTTTTAATTAGTACTTTTGTACACTGCAGCTGGGCTTCTTAGATAGTTGTGGACAAATCTCAAATTCAGAGGTTTGGAAAAGCTGGCATTTCTCCAGGAAGAGGATGGGAATGAGCTGGATAGCCTGAGAGCACCAGGAGGAAGGAAATTAAGAATGGCCATTTTTTTCTATCTTTAAGAGTCCCAGCTGAAAGAAACAAGAACAGAGACAAGCTTTCACTTCTCCCCTATGCAAGTTGCCAATCCAAGGTTTTTTTTTTCACTGATAATATGTAAACCTTTTACTGACAGTCAGTTTTTTTTTTTTTTTTTTACTGAGACCTGTTTTTACTACTAAGTTTTACATAATGTAAATTTTATTCTTCTGCCAGGCCCTGACCTGTTGGCAGGTCTCAGTTAGAAGGGCTAGTTTGAATGTAGGCAACACCAAGCATAGTGAAATATAAAAGTGTGGTTGTCAGTAAAAAGCTTCCAGTAAAAAAAGCAGTTTATTGGGTTGGCAACTCTCCCCCATAGATTCTCTGGGCTGTGTGGATGCATTTGAACTCTCTCATAAAAATGGGCTGTGTTTACATGTAATAAACACATGCATACAATATACATTAATTTTAATAGACATGATTAGAGATTGAACCATAATGTCACTAAACTGGATTAAAATGGATTGCATAAGTATGTGCAAGTACACATCTAAATAATACTTGGTGCATAAAATATCAACTACTAGATCTGATTAAAATTGGTTCTCAGTTAATATTAAGTACATATTATAATGTATTTCTTTTATGTGGTGATAGTATACAATTTATATATAGATATGCATATACAACCCTTTTTAATTTTGATCACATATAAAAGCATATGCTTATGTATGAATGTGTATGTGCATATACTATATTACACAGGTATTATTAATACCTCTAAATATCTCTTTGGAGGTCACCAGTAATTTAATTGGTATTTAAAGTTCTGCATCTCAAACCCATCTAGTGTTAGAGAGATGCTGTAGCCATGACAGTCCAGGAAGTATGCAAGAGGCAAGGTTATTGAGGGAAAGAGTAATATTTTCTCCCTTCCTCTCCACACTCATATACCCAGAAACCTTTCTGCCACCGCTTTGGCTTAGTCTTTTGAACTTCACAATATGGCCTTTGCATCATGGAATCAACCTTGGCTTCTTTGATCTGTCCCAGGCTTCTTACCCATGCTGATACATTATTTTGGCCTTCATTATCATAGATAACAGAAAAAGGTGACTGATTAGTTTATTTGTTATTTGCGCTGTGCCAGGTTTGTTTTGCACTTAGTGTAGCTAACACAAAACATTTTCAGTGCATGCAAATTTCATTGAAGTATATGTAATCCTAGCCACGGTGCTACCCACAGCCACGTTCAGATTCAGGGTCCTGGGGTGTCAAATTGTCTCAGTCAACCTCCTACCCCCTAAGGCTGGGGCACTCCATGGAGTGCTTTCCACACACACACACACACACACACACTGGAGTACATGTAGTTTATTTACACAGTTTATTATTTACAAAACTGTCAACATATGAATAAGGTTAATAGCAGAACAGGATATCAATAATCTAATTGTCAAAGCCAGGTATCGATGAACTAAAACATTCTACAGACTGAATCAAAGACATCCTCCTGCTTAAACCTTGAGACTCCAGTGAATTTTAGCAGGAGCACACACAGTTAATGCAAACATCAGCTCTTCTTCACACTGGCAACACAATAACCATGGCTGGTGCTGCTGCTCCAGAAAGTCCTGCCCTGTGCTAGAGCCTGCATGGGGATGAGAAGCTCTCCTCTGCTCCAGCTGTCTGTGGTATCTGCACAGAAACACAAACTGTCCCCCCTCCCCAAAAGCATCTCTCTCCAGTTCCCAGACACGGCCCCTTGTGATGATAACTGAAACAACCCTGGGTTTATCACCCAGCCAGTCCCAGGCTGGTTCTGTTAACTCTCCCCAGATCAACACCCGGCCTTCCTAGGTAAGTCTACTTCTCCACCCTTTTTTCCTCCACATGGGTCCCTCTGCTTCACAAAGGGAAAAAAGATACCAGGTTGTCTTCTCCCCATCACTAAGGGCAGGTTCGCGGTACAGGGTGGTTCCTCCCCCAGCTCTGTGGTCCTGGGCGCCTTCCCTTCTTTGAGACTGGTTGAGGTCCCCCCCAGGAGCCAATCAAAAACATACATATCCTCTTACAGGCATCAACTTTCTGCAAACTTTCCCACCCTGCCTTGCAGGGATCCTGAGCTCTGCTGCAAATCCAGCAGCAGCTGTTACGCATATAAAAGTACGTAAGTGACTGTCTGCATACCTTTATAGCCCTTGCTGTACTTGTGCAATCAGTGCAAAGCTTCCTGGGAGGTAGGCAGTTACTTCCCCTATGTTCCTGTTCTTTTCTACAGTTTGGAGACTCAGCTGTGTTATATGTTGAATGACTTGCCCAAGGAAGTTGAAGGTTAGGCTGGGAACTGAACCTGTTTTCTGAATTTTAGTTCAGCACTCCATTTGCTACTAAGCTGTACTTCTCACCTGTGGGCTCTGAGGTGCAGAGACATACATCTGATCACTAGGGCTATGGCTACATTAGAAGAAAAGTATTTTAACATGCACTGAGTTCTTAAACGTATTAAAATCCTGTGCAGATAAAAGCAGCTAGGGTTTTAACATAGGGTTTATTTCCACATGGTCACAACTGATACAGCAATAATCTTGTCTACAGAATGATTTTTAACACATTGGCTGGCACAATTAAAAGAAAAAAAACAAACCATTTTTCATTAAAGAAGACAGGACCTAGGTAGACCCATTTTCACCACAAATGGCAGGGATGCCAGGCATTCTTCACTCAATTCTCCCTGCCTGTGCACATGCTCATGCCCATGCCCATCCAACTTTTCACTCTACCATTCAGTAAAACTGCCTTTGTGCATGTTTAGAGAAAGGACTGGAGCTTGTGTCACAGATCATGTCTGAAATGCTTTTCAGCTAATTCAGTGGGGGACCTGCACAGCTAGCTGAACTTTCCCACAGACCTTCTTGTTTTAAAGTGCTGTTGCCCAAAGCAGTTGTTTTATTTCATTAGAGCTTGGAATAACTGCACCAACCTTTCACATGTTTTGTAACAAGCTAGGGTGGGAATTATTTTGCTGGAAAATGCATTGAATTTTTGATACTGTAATATATGACCTGAAAGTGCCTGCTGGAGATGTTGCCTCTTCATTTTTCAGTAGTAACTTATGACTATTATTAGAATTAGTAGGTAGATAGTATTTAAAATGAATTATGTGGCTTCTTAATGTCATAGCAAATAACAAAAATAAATTAGTAGGTAAATTAGCATATTGATTGTCTGGATGAAGTATGCATACTCTGGCAATAAATAACTTGAAATATTATTTTTTCAAGGAGCTTTGGAGGTCTTTTGTAGCCCATTTTTATAGTAATAAGGGAGGGCTATAGTTTACCATACTTTGGCTTTATTAATTTGTTTTTCAAGACATAAGTTTTCAGGGTTAATTGCATCTGATGCCTCATTCTAATCTGCATCTAATAGTCAACTATTACTAAAAGAGAAAGTAAAGCATTATATAATCAGTTTTTCCTTGTGCTTTTTTCTGGAGAACAGATTAGGAGATAATGCACAACACATCAAGTGAAATTACAGCATGCATTTGAGCTGTACTCTGTAAGGATGTAGCTTTGCTGCTGCTTTTTCTTTTTGTCCATTCTGAACATGTTCACTTTGATCTTTCTTGAGTCTTTCTACTTTTTGGGAACATTGGTTCTCAGTTGCACTGAAGTATCAAGCTCATTTTCTCAGGTTGAATAGCTGTCTGGAATATGTTTCAATAGGTTTGTCTGGGGTACATTTTGACATGCGTAAAACACATAATACATATGGCAATCATAATTCAATGCAGAAATAGCCCACACTGCTACCATGGGCATATAGATTTGATCTCTGTGTGTTTTCTAATATACATTTTCCTCCCCCACTCCCAAAATAAATAATACATTTAGGTGTATATCTTAGTGCTATGTGTGTGTCTGAGAGGGAGAAGGACAAGAATTCAAATAGTGTGAAATTTGCATTTCCTTAGTAGCATTTTTAAAATCCCTCTGAACCTTTTTCTTTTCATGAAAGGAACAGGAACTCAGGACTTCATCTGAGTGAAGAGTTCCAAGTCTTTCATCCATTCTCTTGCTTAGAACAGCTTCCTTCAGGTGTAACAATCAACTTCATTTTCCTTATAGCCAATTAAGTTGTAATAGTTGCACTTGCATGCGGGGAGGCAGGAAGCTAGGGATAGAAAGAATTTGCTTTGCTGGTGGGAGCCTGGAGACTCCAGCTGCTGTTGCAACTGGAGGAGCAGTGAAGGGAATGTGGCCAGGCAGCAGCCATCTATACGTGCATGGGTATTAGGGCACAGTAAGCTAATTAAGGGCAGAGTGATTAACTGCACTGAAATGCACATATAGATGGTGACTGGGCACGGGCCAGACTCCTGACTACTGCCTAGCCACTTGACGCCACAGCTTCTGCACCCTCATGCCCCAGCCAGCTATTCTACTTCTCATTGCCACTACCCAGAGCCTGGGGCTGACCCTCATCCCCCACTACTAACCTGGGCCTGCTCTGCCCCAGCTCAGATTGCTGCTGCTCCAGGTTCACATGTAGATGCTGCACTTGGGAGCAGTTTACTGCAGCTCAAACAGCTCCAGAGTTTATTGCTTCACCTTAATTTCACTTGTAGATGCACCCAGTATCTTCTAACTTGTGATAATGAGGCTGTAATGGAGGGTGGGAAGAATGCGGCTCTTCAAATTACTGTCAGAATAAAAGACATAATCCTTTGCAGAGGAAAGAGAGGATGAAATGGGCCAAATGTTACTCTGGAAACGGACATTTAGTGAGAGGAGCTGTCTGATGAGGTTTGCTTTCATGCTGTTGACTTTCTGTATTGTCCAATTTAGCATCTTAAGGTCAATGAAATGTCTAACTCTTCCTGAGGGCTTAACAGTCTGAGAAGTCTGTAGTCTGCACCAATTATCCACATTTTGAAAACTGTACTGATTTTACCTTTGCGTTATGTTTTAGGCTGCCTGTTTGAAGATGACCTTTGCAAACCTTTTGAGATCTGCATAAATGGTAAGTCTGAATGATTTGTTTTGCTGTCCAATCTGCCCTCTTCTGTGTAATTGCATAAGTTAAACTCAATAAGTGGAAATGAAGTTGGAAGTGAAGTATGTCAATTTGTAGTAAACTGCTATTTAGTAGTAGTTGTTAGGTAGAATTAAATCCTCTTGGCCCTAGTGAGCCTTGTGACAAAAAGACCCTTTCTTGGTGAGTAGAAATAAAGATGCATTGAAACATGCTGATTTAAAAAAATGTCATAGTACAGAATTGAAATGGCTGTTCTATCTCTTTATTTGTTTCCTTTTCTAGAGTACTATGTTAGTGATCGCGTGTGTCTATCTGTTTTTCAAGATGGGTTCTTTTATTATTGTAACAAAAGATGGTTTCAAAGGAATCTTTCTCTGTATGCAGAGAATATGACCATTTTATTCAGAACACACTGTTTTCCTTTTTACATTTTTATTTGAGCTACCCTTCAACTGCAATAAGCATCTTTTATCTGCTTTCCCTCCCACCTTCCCTGCAGTGAGACAAGAAAACAGATACAATACTATGAATGGGTGGCTTCAGATCAGAGTCCACTGAAGTGGTAGCATCAACCTCTTCAGGGTTGTTAGTGTCCTGTGTGAAATTGCTTCATGTTGGGTTGGGGGATACACTTTTAAAACATTTCTATTGCTGTAAAAATTTACAATTTGCAAATACATTATTATAGGTTTCTTACAAATTGTTGTACTCTTCATGAACGAGTGCCATAGAATATAGGAAGAGACCATTGCTTCAGGAAGTGAGATGTCGCAGTCACTATTTTATTTTAACACAATGCAGATTTTAGTTACTCATTTAATCAAGGTACAGAAGCATTGGCTAAGTGGAGTGGAGGCTGCTCAAGTATGTTGCTCAAGTAGGGTCTTTTATGCAAGTAGGGGTGGGTATGAAAAAGAGAAATATGGGGGAAAAATAATACAGAGAACATGCGAAAGAATACATTTAATCCTTCAGTAAATGCTCCAGTTGACTTCATATTTAGTGGATGCATCTAAATTAAACACTTACTGCAGACTTGCCTAATTAGCTCCGCAGTAAAGCATCATTATTTACATGAGCTATTAGGTCAGAGTAAACCAATTAACTCCTCTAAGATAGTACTGCCCAACAAAAGTACTGTTCTACAGCAGAGTTATTTACTCCACTGCAACGACTGTGAAGATAGTGACTGGGGCTGGCTGGGGCATGAGAGAGCCAGCAGACAGCCCTGCACTGTAACAAGCCCTTATGTTCTACTCAACCCCTCTGCAGCATGTTGAGCTGGGCAGGAGCAGCCCCGGGCTGGCAAATTGAACCCTGGACCCTCTGCCAGCCGGCTGTGGCTGCAGGCACACATGTAAACGCTATGTCCAGAAGCAATAAACTCCAGTGCAAAGTGTTCCAAAGTTCATTGCATTTAATTAATTTCACATGTAGATGTGCCCAGTGACTGCTAAAATAACCTGTAAAAGAGCACCACATATGCTCAGACTGCGTTGTTGGATATGAAGGAGAGCTGCGCATTTTTTTTTTTTTTTCAACTTTTCAAACACTTTTGTTTTATCCAGTGGCTAGTTGGAGACTGGGAGGTATGAGTGTCTATTGTTTTATCTAGCAAAGACAGTTCAATGAGCTCAAAGGATTTATGCAACACAGATGCGGTTTCAACTGCTTTCACTTCTTTATTAACAAGAAGACTGTACAATAACATTGCACACACAAATTGTGCCAGTAAGGTTCAATTTCCTTTCTAGTCTTTCTGTGTTCAAAGGTGAGATTTTTAAAGTCCTCAACTTTTTAAAACTTTTATCTCGGAGGCAGGTACTCCTGGTGGGGCTTTCCCCAACACTTTTCCCTCCCTCAGCCTGGGCAGGTGGGTGGGAACAGAGTGCATCCCAGGGCGTGGTGGCGGAGGGGCAAGGGGCACTGCCAGCCCCCCACCTCGGCTCACTCTGTGCCCACTCCCAGGAGCAGGGCTGGGGGGCGAGGGCAGCAGTACCCTTCTGCGTGCCCATGTGTGCTGTCCAGCAGGGGGACAAGGGGAGCTCACACGCGGTAGCCGCTGCTGCTGCACCTCACGCTTCTTGCTTGTGGCTGGCGGTGGGAAAGCTGCATGGGACCCGGGGTATGGTGGTGTGGTGGTGGCCACTGCATGTGAGCCCCCCCGGCCAAGCACACATGTGAGGCCTGCAAAGGGGCAATGCTGCCCTCATCCCTGCTCTGAGAAAGCAGTGTGGGGCATGGCAGCAGTGCAGTGGTACTGGTGGCCTCTGCCGTGTGAGCAGAGGTGCAGTGTGGAGGCAGCGGCTGGCAGTGGTGAAGTGGTGGCTGCCAGTGGCAGCATGGTGGGTAGCCACTGCATGCCAGCACCACTGCACTGCCATTGCTGTGCCTCATGCTTCTTGCCCAGAGCAGGGCCAGGGGCCAGGGTAGCGGTGCCTCTCTGCGAGCTGCACGTGTTCACCTGGCAGGGGATTGCGGGGCTCGCACACGGTGGCTGTCACCGCACGCTGTGTCCCGTGCAGGTTTCCCACCCCCAGCTACAGGCAAGTGGTGTGAGGTGCGGCGGCAGCAGCACAATAGTGGTGGTGGTTGCTGCATGTGCCTCCACTCTGGCTGGGCAGCATGTGTGCCCCTCATCCGCCTGGCCCTGCTCCTGGGAGCGGGCACAGAGTGAGCTGAGGCAGGGGGCTGGCAGTGCCCCTTGTTCCTCCGTTACTGCGCCCCGGGGCATGCTCTGTTCCACCTCCTCTCCCTGCCCGGGCTGAGGGAGGAGAAAGTGTTGGGGAAAGCCCCACCAGGAATGCCTGGCAAGCTGGTAGGCACTCCATGTCTTCTCCCAACACATCCTTGCTCCCTCAGCCCCCAGCCAGCTTCTCCCCCCCCACCTCCCCGTAGCGGTAGTGTGGTGGCGGTCGCTGAGTGTAAGCTTCCTCCTCTCCCCAGCCGGGTGGCATGTATGTGGCCTGCAGAGGGAGACCACTGCCCTTGTCCCCCCCCCGGGAGCAGGCACAGAGATGCACTCCTCCCCCATTCTCAATCTGCCCCTCACAACCCCTTCCTGTCTCCTAACACACACACCTACCTGCTGGGGTGTGTGTGTGTGTTTGTCTGTGCCTGTGCCTGTGTGTGTGGGGCCGGGGGCTGTTGGGGGAATAAGGGGCACGAGCAGGATTGGGGAGGCTGTGGGGGGTGGTGAGAGGGACTAGCAGGGCTGTGGGGAGCCTTTAATTTTTATCACAGATTTTGGATTTTTTGTCAGAGAATTTGCAATTTTTTATCAGAGAACTTGTGATTTATAATTTTTTTTTTTTTTTTTTCTAATCAGGGAAAACCAGGATCCCTGCTTATCACTTCCTCTTCCTGCTTCCATGTGCCTCAGGGAGTTATAGTCCATAGTTGCAGCCAGCAGTATGTTTGAGTTAGGGAAGGGGTGTTTAACCCCTCTCCCTGGCCCTAGACCCCAGCCAGGGTTTGCCTGGGGGGAAGTCCCCCCACTGTAAACGGCTGCATCCCCAGCTGGGATTGCAACACCCTTCCCCCGTCAGCCAGCCCTCACTGCACCAGCTAGGGAACACAGGGGCTAAGCTGGCTCTGCTTTCTGGAGCAGACAGCACAGCCCAGCCCAGCCCAAGGCTGGAAAGCACGCTGGGGGACTATGTTTTAAGTTCAACCAGGAAGGGGTCTGGGACAGAAGGTTCATAAACCAGTTTGACCCGAATCAGTTAAGTCTGATGCTACGTTCAGCCTGATTACCTTAACCAGCTGCAGCCATTTTGAAACTGGTTTATGTGCACTGAACTTCTGTTCTGTTACAGGTTTAAAACAGTTTCTGATCACTTAAACCGATTTATGTGTAACTTCTGTCCCTAGCTGGAGTATGAGTAAAGCTGCTGTGGGAAGTAAGGAAGGGGAGAAGCAAATGGAAATGAAACTCATCTTTAAAAACATCAAGGGAGCAGGATTAGCATCACTAGGGATAGATAAGGTTATTTTCAAGCTTCTAAAAAGATCTGAGAAATATGGTATGGCCCCTCCCAAGTTATTTTTTTGCACACCTGTGTCCTATGTCATTTATTTTATGCTGCTGTACCTGAGAATTTTTGGCCTTGGTGCTGAGATCTCTTTTATGTTTACTTAGTGGCTTCTGCAGCATTCATTCAGTATTAATTTTCTTCCTTAAACTTTTTATCAATTTCCTGAACTACACTGACTCATTAAGTGGGTAAAAAGGAGCGTATTGTTTTATGTTTACTTTAATACTTTAAATAGAGAAGTAGCCAAGCAAGAAGACTTGGTTTTCCTGGGTTTTATTTACTGAAGCAGGTATTAAAAAAAAAAAAAAAAAGAAGAAGAAAAGGTTTAGATGTCTTTTGACTGCCAATCCAGCAAACCAGTTCATGATGCTGTCTCTAGAATGGAGGAAATTTGTACTTCTACTTTTGTGAAGGGCTTTAAGATCTGTAGCTGAAAAGTGTTAGATGAGAGCAAGGAACTGTTATTTCTAGGCACTACTGGAAATCTGCGAACATAACTTTGCATCCCAAAGGCTGGAGATGGATGGATGCTTCCAGGTGAACTCCTACAATGCAGATGAAAACAGATAATCAGACATTTCAAGGCTAAATCAAATTGGAGTAAACAGACATATTAGGAATAAGAAGAGAAGATCAGAAAAAGCTGGGGGCGAGAGGTAGTAGAGTTAATGTGTATGATAAAGTAGGGAAGGAAGGAATTTTCATAATCCCTTTTTGACCGAATGCTACAGAAAATCTTATACTGTTTTGCATAAACAGTTTTACTTATCATTTACAATGTAAAACCTGTCAGCTTGCTGCTGCTGCGCAGCTAATCAAATTACAGAACACAAAGTAAATATAGAGTTGCTGATAGAAAATAGTAGCAAATCCAGTCTTGTCCTTTCTTACAAAATCACACTGTGTATTGCATACTTGTGGTAGCACTGGGGAAAACAGCATATGGTG